CGAAGAATAAGAAGAAGAAGAAGAAGAAGAAGAAGAAGAAGAAGAAGAAGAAGAAAGGAGAAGAAGAAGAAGAAGAAAAGAAGAAAGAGAAGAAGAAGAAGAAGAAGAAAGAGAAGAAGAAGAAGAAGAAGAAGAAGAAGAGAAGAGAAGAAGAAGAAGAGAAGAAGAAGAAGAAGAGAAGAAGAAGAGAAGAAGAGAAGAAGAAGAAGAAGAAGAAGAAAAGAATAAGAAGAAGAAAGAAGAAGAAAGAAGAAGAAGAAGAAGAGAGAAGAAGAAGAATAAGAAGAAGAAGAAAAGAGAAGAGAAGAAGAAGAAGAAGAAGAAGAAAGAAGAAAAGAAGAAGAAGAAGAAGAAGAAGAAAAGAAAAGAAGAAGAGAAGAAAAAAGAAGAAGAAGAAAGAAGAAGAAAAAGAAGAAGAAGAAGAAGAAGAAGAAGAAAGAAGAAGAAGAAGAAGAAGAAGAAGAAGAGAAGAAGAAGAAGAAGAAGAAGAAGAAGAAGAAGAAGAGAAGGGAATATATATATATAACCTTTTGGCAAAAGAAAGCTACATATCAAACTTGATCGCTTCTTCAATAAATCAAAGGAATTAATTTAATATTGATGAAACTTCCTGTATTAGGCGAAAATATTTATCCTCCAGACGTGCACATAAAAGAAATAATAATAATATAATCTAATTATAAAGTAAAAAAAAGCTTAATAAAAAAATAAGTGTCCAAAGTATACTTAAAATTAACTTAGTATTTAAAAAAATTTCGTTAAAAATAGATGTCTAACGTTTCCAATATTACATTTTTAGATATGTGAAATGTAACGTAATTAGATTCGACTGTTAAGTCACATGTGTCACTACTTTATCTTTTTAAAATTTTTTATTTTTATTTAAAAAATCATATTTTTATACAAAAAATTCCCTCCTTCCTCTCCCCCTTCATCCCCACCCACCCCAAGTCTCCCTCCCAATTTACTCCCCCTCAAATTCCTTCCACTCCCCCGACCATCTTCCTCCCTCCCACTATTTGAAATTATTAGGATTAAATTTTAATTAAATTCTCATTAAATTTAGGGTTATGTATTTATGGGTTTAAAGGTTTGGGGACAAAGGTAAGGGCAAGGACAATGACTTGTCAATGGGTGAGTGGCAACAAATAGACGATCTTTTGGAGACAGAAATGATGCCCAACAATGTTTGCAAATGGGTTTGAAATTAACAATTTTAAAGTTTTAGGGTTTTTGTAATTCAAAAGAAATTTGGGTTTTTTTTAAAAAATAAATTATAATTTTTATTAAAATTTTATAAGTTAATACATTTAGATAATAATATTTTTTTAATAGCGATTACTATCCAGATACCTAAAAATATAACGTCGAAAACATTTATCATCTAAAAGGGTAACAAAAAAAACATTAAATGCATAATTTTAAAGGAAAAATTATTTACGTACTAAAAATTAACATTAGATATAATTTGGATACTTTAAGCCTTAAAAAAATTATAAAGTTGTTTCATTTTTATGTAAGTATTCCCTTTTTCATTTATCTTCAATATATAATCTATTAAATTTGACAATTTCCTTTTCAGGTGAGAAAGAACTGAGAGATGCTCGAAAAAGCTTGAATGTAAACGATGAATACCTTAGTACATTAAGAACCAAATCATATTTAGAAATTTCCTCAAAAGCTCAAGTATTAGCCAATGAACCGTCATCTCCATACAACTTTCAACTCGTGGAGCCCTGCCAAGACACCATATCTTCAATCTTAGAATCGGCGATCCTTGCCGAATCACCGGAATTCAAAACCCTAATCCTCGATTACTTCGATGTTAGTGCCGAAGCATCAAAGATCTGTGGTCATCTCCTCACAAAAATCAACCAAATCCAACGTAATTACCAGTTCATCCAACGAGCACTAGACTCGTTGGATGAGTATCATCATTCTCCTGAGAAATTCAGACAGATTCTTTCTGAGTTGAACTCGTTCGTAGCCCTGAAAACCCCATTTTCCAACCCTAACAAACATGATTTCAAGATGATTAACGAGAAATACTCCTCGATATTGCACCATCTTAGATCGAAAAAAAGCAAGGTTTCGAGGAAGATAAAGATGATCAAGTTCATTCATACAGCGTCCGGGATTTGTTTAACGTCAACTTGTGGATTGATTGTGGTAATAGCTATAGTCATCGCTGTGCATACCCTTGCACCGTTGTTAATGGCACCTGCGATTCTGAGCTTCGTCCCAGTAAAGCTTTTAAAGAAGAAGAAGACGATGATCTTCAAGAAATTACCGTGTTTGAAATGTGGGTTTCTGAGGAAAGTCGGGGATCAGCTCGATGTTGCAAGCCAAGGGGACTTCCATTTGAATTGGGATTTCGATACTATGAGCAGGATGGTTTTGAGGATGAATGATGAAGTTGAACACAAGAAGGAAATCATACGAACTTGTTTGGAGAGGCAAAGGGAAGATCATAGGTTTTGTCAGCAAATTGTCAAGGAGTTAAACAAGTGCAATTCTGGGTTCTGGAAACAGGTGCAGGAGCTTGAAGAACATGTATATTTGTGCCTTGTGGCGATCAATCGAGCAAGAGCATTGGTAATCAAGGAAATGGGTACTTATACTTATAAATAGAAAGAAAAAAAACAATTACTTTTTATTTTTTGTATTCTTTGAATTTATACGTTTATAGTGTACACATGTATATATTATTGGTGAATGGAAGGTTGATAAGTATGAGTTTATACACAAACAAATAGAAGAATATATCTGGTTAAAATGTGTTACGCTATTTATAAGTCATGCTCTTGAAAATCATGTGAATTTATATTATTTTTATTTTTTTAATATTTATTTTTCGTAAATTATAGTAAAACATTATAAATATAATTATTAAATAAATTCAATAAAAAATTTATTTTATTTTATTTTAATAATTTTTATAAAAACATTATAAATCGTTAGAATCAAAACTTTAGAATTTCACAAATTGAGTTTTTCTTTATATATATTATATGATACCGAGAAAAATAACACATATATTACATTAATGCATAAAAAAAGATTACCCTTTTACTAACATATTATAACAATTATTTCTTGAAGAGCTTAATGTCTCTCCACCTTGATTCCATGAAGTTGCTAGATTTAGAAGGTGCAGCATAAACACCGCATTTGAAATACAAGTCTCCAGGCCCTTGATCCTTCACCACAAACTTCTCTTCTCCATCAATGAAAACCCAGATCTTCCCTTTGCCAACATCATGGATCACATTCAGTCGAAACCATTTATCGTATAGATCGGTGGCCACCAAGTTGTACCGGTAATATCGCATGTCGCCATCGTAAATCCGCAGTTGGAGTGTTGTAGCTCCTTCGCTGGCACCGTGGATCTGCATTATGGTCACCCCAGAGGTCCCTTTTGGGACGAAACCATAGCCTTCGAATTGCCAAATTCCGGACGAATAGTCATGTCCCTAAAACAGATTATCATGCACCAGAGTCTAGTTAGATTAATGCATTTTGGTATGTATTATTATTTGCTGATGAGCATGTGATGTTACCTTTATGCGAATTTCGGTACGAGGCCTAGTTCCGCTGTCAGGTTTGAAGGGCTTATCGTTGGTATAGACCCAGAAACTCCTAATGCCATCGGAGTCATTGTAACGTCGGGACAGTGGTATGTTAAATGGTTTCTGCAAATCGAAATTCTCATCTGTTAATGGCACTTCACTGAACCCGTCTGTAGGATCCGCACCACAAACAAGCCATCGATCTTTCAAACAAACAACAACAATGATAATCAAAAGCCTATAGCAATTGGAGCCCTTCATTTTTGTGGAAGAAAACTGCTGGGATATCTGGAGATAAAATAACCAGATTTTCGGGGACCTATTTATAATACAGAGATGCTATTTGGCGTAAGTCATGAAATAAGAATCGCAGGACCTTTATGTTGTTGTTTTATCTCTTTAAAGCGTATGAGAGAGCAAATAAGTTGGGCCTTGATGCTGAGACTTTGTCTGCATATACTGCTATTTTGGGAACTTATTAGATATTCATATTATGTCTGCTTCTCCGATGAATATTACGGTGTCCTTGTTCACCCCGTTACAAATTTATCTTCTCCTAATTCGGATCAGTATTGGGAACGAAATTCTCCTACCCGTGCCTCTTGTATGACCCACTAATAGTTTCCCGCCACGTGTATTAAAAATTTAAAAGATAACATGCCGTTAATTTTTATTTTTCACTTTTTTTTATTCTGTGGTTATTTGTCTCACGTTGCTTTTATTTATTTATTTAGTTGTTTATTTGTCCGGAAAAATCAAAACAACATATTAACATGATTAATTATATATATATAGAGAGAGAGAGTTAGGATCCACTTACACGATGTAAAACTCTTTAGTTTTACACATATTTAGGACCGTTAGATTAGTGAAAACATATAACTGAGATGGACTCTTTGTTTTTTCTTTTTCAGTGAATATCTCCTCATTTCTTACCGTTAATCTCAACCATTTATTTTCACTCATCTAACGATCTTAAATCTGTGTAAAACTAAAAGAGTTTTACATTGTGTAACATGATTCTATCCCATATATATATACTAGTGATGGATCTAAAAATATTTTTGAGGGTGGCCATATATATATTAATATCTCGTACATGATGGATATAATTAAAATTTTAGGGTAAGCATCATTAGTAAAATGTACAAATAACATAAAAAAAATTCGAATTTCAGGGTGGACATTGAAAAATATTACATCTGTCACTATATATATATATACATATACATACGTCGTCAATCATCATATTCTTTTTATTTTAATCTATTTTTTTATTTCTCTTATTTTTATTTTGGTTTAATCATCAGTATCTATTCCTCTTTTTTATATATATATAATTCTTGTTAAAAATAAAAATTATAAATATAATCACTATTTATCAAGGATTTTCAAAACTATTATTTTATTTAATAGTTTTTAATCATTTTTTAATTTATTTATTTCCTTTTAAAATAATTATTTTGCCTCTTTGTTTAAGAATTAATCATATTTAATATAATGTTTTGATTTTTTTCAAAATTAATTTTGGTTAATATATTGTTTTAATTTTTTTCTGAAGAATAAGTAAATAAATAAATAAAAGTAATGTAATAAAAATAATGACAGAAGGGGAAACGAAGAATAAAATCTCTTACCCCCTTTTAATACTCTTTTGGTGCCCCACCAATAACATATTGACAGTTGGATTATTCTAATAATTCATTTGATATATTTATGTTAGTAAACCCACTGTTAACTCACCTTTACCTTTAAAAGGAAAGAAATGATTTCAACAATAAAAAGGAAAAACTCAAACAATTTTAGTTCTCTAAGGAAATGAAATTTAGTCGAAAAGCAATTTATTTAAAATTAAACAATTTCTTGATTAGTAGAGAAAAGGTTGCAAAAAAGCTAAGGGATCAATATCTTAATCCGTATGATTTTCTTTTTTTTTCTTATATTTAAATTTATTTAGAGGATTATCACCCTGATTGATTTTGTAAAACCTATTCTTTTGGGGAAACAATTATATTTTCTGATTCCTACTTTTTGAATTGAACAATGTTAAAAGTCTTGAAACATGAGTGAAATCTTGATATTTGTGAGTAGTTTTAGTAGTCAAATTATGATTCTATATGCTGCACTGATATGGATACGAGGACTAATATGGGAACGAGGACCCGGACGAGAAACAACAATTTAATAAATTGCAGGGTACAATGACAACAATGGTACAATATATAAAATATTTAAAATTATAAATAGGTATAAAAATATTAAATAAAGTCAATTCTTCACAGAAAATTAGAAAATAAAATCCATAACTGAATCAGCATTAAAATATCAAATCTCAATACTCAAACAATAAATTAAGTCTAAAACAATATTAACAACACAAATCAAACATTGTTAACATCTTTTGAGATCAAATCGTTCTTCATAAATAAACCATAAACAAATCTCAAGCCTCAAACCACAATATTAAGTTTAGAACAATAAAATCCATAAATAAACCATAATATTACGTTTAGAACAATAAAATCCATAAATAAACCATAATATTAAGTTTAGAACAATAAAATCATAAATAAACCACAATATTAAGATGTCAAATCTCAAGACTCAAATCACAATATTAAATCTAGAATGACAAAATCCATAAACAAACCATCATATTAAAATGTCAAATCTCAAGATTCAAACCACAATATTAACTCTAGAATAATAAAATATATAAATAAATCATAATATTAAGTCTAAAACAATAAAATCCATAAACAAACCATAATATTAAAGTGTTAAATCTCAAGACTCAAACCACAATATTAAGTCTATAACAATATTAAACATCACAAATCAAACATTGTTAACATCTTCCAAGATTAACTCGCTCTCTAAATTCGGCTCATCAAGCGATAGTTCGACAAACTCTAAATATCCAACATCTCCTAGTGAATCAAAAACATCTCCACCAACATCTCACATCTTGGTTTTCTCATCCTCATATTGATTAGAACTCCTTGATAAAAAGACGAAGATTGTAGTGGATGTAAACTAAATCTTAGACGTGATTCGGATTTAACTTATTTATCCTAAGTGAGTGTATAAAAGAATAAGTACTCCAATTTTTTTCACAAGAAGAGGATGAACTATGTTGTCCAAGCACTTTGAAACCAAAATATTGGAGCAATGGAGTTTTGACACTTAAGTTAGCCCACCAACTTTTCGGATTCGAAGAATACCTCTTTGTAAGAGAAATCAAATCTTCAAAAGGTCCACTCTTAAGTGAGAAGAAAAAACATCTCTATGAGAAGTAACTATACTAGGATCATAGGTTAGCCAACATCACTATAAAACTTCAACATATTAAAAAGAAAACTATAGATATATCAAAAAAATAGGAGTTGAGAATATAAAATTCAAAACTAACAAAGCTATGTACCTTGAATTTAGTGGGTGAGCTAGACAATGAAGAAGGGTATAAATCTTTGTCCAACAAGCTATAAGAATCTCATAAACAACATGATAAAAGGATTGAAGTCTGAAAGAGAACGTTTTTCCTTCTTGTAAATTTCACACTTCACTTTCTCAATCATGTAATCCCACATATCATATACCAAATGAAGACATTTCTTATCAATGTCACATACGTTAAGCATGTCATAGATAAGCTTTGTGAAATCAATGATATAAGCTATTTTATTCCACAAATCATCAATCATAAGTTTTTCCTTTACAAAGTTTGTTTTCTCCATGTAATCCTTTCTATAAGAATTCCATTCATCGCTTAGGATCATTGATTGAAGTCCTTGTTTAGTGAGCTTAAACCTCTTAAGCATCACAATGATCAAAGCAAAACGAGTATCGACAACTGAAAGAAACTTAAGAGGACTAAATCTTTAGAAGATTACCAATTTCATGTTGTGGTTCATGATGAAATTATTGATTTGTACGACATTCCCATGAATTTCAGTAATCTAATGACACAAGTCATATGTTTCCTCATTTCCCTCGATATTTTTACCGAATAAATGTTCTTCAAGTCAAGATTAAGTGTATGGAAAACACACTGTGTCCAATAAATATGATGATACATGCTCTTAATATCTCTACAGGGTATGGAAGAGATGGCCTACTTTGGTTGTCCTTGTAATCAGTTTACAATTCTTCGTAACGTCTATTAGTCAATAATCTTTCAAAATGGTCAAAGAATGTAGTAAATCATTTATAATCGACGCACATCTTTATTTGGTTATTCATACTCTCACTTATTTGAGTACTGGACATAACTACAGAAAAGGTTATCTTCCATAAACTAAAGTTCATTTTTATCTCAATTCGAATTAATTCTGCAACCAACTGATATTTCCCAGATTATACTCCGTAAGCATTTTATCCCTTGCATTTAAAAAATCTTCCTCTTTGTCGTGATCATAAACACAATTATTAAAATCCTTTGAAAACCTATTAAATCTCTCAAACACATCACTAAGATGCTTAGTTGCATTTCAGTACATATGCCACATACATAATCGATGACATGTTTCAAACCATTGTGAAGCATGAGCTTTTGCCATTGTAGCATTTTGATATGTAAGAATCATAAATGGTTTTTCCCTGACATTGCTTTCGAAAATGGATCAAATAATCAGATAAATGTCTTACATGCTTTATCATACAACAAAACAACACCAAACATAACACTTTGCTTGTGACGGTTATCTCCCACAAATAATGACAAAGGTCTACCATATTATTTTTTTATATGTTGTATCAAAATATACCACGTCTCCAGAATATTCATTAATATAATTTCATCCTACTATCTGTCCAGAAAATATTGTTATGAAGTTATCAAGATCAACCTGGATGGTATAAGAAAAATTAGGATCATCTTGTCACATATTTGTAGATACTCTAATACTTTAACAGTATATCCAACTTTCATCTCTTTTGTTCTTTTAGTACACAAGTAATGACTATAGTCTTTCAGGAATGAAATTAAGATTCTCGATCCCACCAATTTTTCTAGCTAAAAATTCAACACTTTCTTTTGGTGTTAATCATGAATGATCAGCGATTTCAAGTTCTGCAACTTGAGCAAGATTATCTTTTTGTATGATCGACCCGTTGAATTCATACAAAATACCATTTTCAAAAAGAAAATTTCCTTTGAGATCTTAGAAACATACACTTTCTTTTTTACATCATCATCCATTATCCTTTATTCGAGTACCTGGACAAGAATAAAAAAAAAGTCTTGTTTACTTAATGGCCAT